TTCAGCAAACATGTAATGAATGACTACATCCTGTTATAGGTGTAAAATGGCCTACTAGACACAAAATGAGTATCATGCGTGATAAAACAGTCAGTACACTAAAAGCTGCATTAAAATAAAAATGGTCAAATAAAATAGCAAAATCCAAATGCAATAGAAGTTCCCTGTGGGCTAGGCAAAGGCCCATAGACAGGACTAAAGAAAAGAACACAATCCCAATATGATAAAAGAACAAAAGGGAAAGAAATCAGCACAGCTCCCAAAACACTAACATTGACTAAACCACCAGAAGATTGTAATAAGTACATTTAATATCCACCTAATACAAAAAATGCATCAAACATTTGTAAACCCCCACCCCACCCCACCCCGCAAATTCATATCTTGAAGTTCTAACCGCCACTCATGGTGGCTGTATTGGAGACTGGGCCTCTAAGGAAGTGCTTACAGTTAAATGAGGTCATAAGGCTGGTTGGAGATTAGTGCTCTTATGAGAAGAGACACCACAGACACCCCAGGGCTCAGCAAGTGGGCATGTGAGCACACAGAGAGGTGCCAGCCACCCACAAGCCAAAAGAAGAGGCCTCAGAAGAAAGTCTACCTTGCAAGCACCTTGACCATGGAGTTTCTAGCCTCCAGAACAGTGAGACATACGTTTCTGTTTTTTAAGCCACCAAGTCTGTGGTATTTTGTTATGGCAGCCCTAGCTGACTCATACAATATCTAATGATACTGTAAGTCTACAAAGGGTCAAACTAAGTCCCAAAATTTGGGCAAAGGCTAGAGAAACGTGGCCAGACTTTACTTCTACTTCCCTTCCTGGAAAAGGGTGCTCTCTGAAGTCAACATTCAGAATGGGAACCAAGTCTAAAGATCTGTGGCACTGAGACCTCGGACAGACGTGAGGTCCCTGATAAACTACTGCTTTTAAAGTAAAGTGAATGAATTAAACCAAAGAACTGGATGCAGAAAACCTGGGCTCAAATCCCGACTTCAGCATTCACCTATCCGTGGTCGGCAAACTGCGGCTCACGAGCCACACGCGGCTCTTTGGCCCCTTGAGTGTGGCTCTTCCTAAGCCTTAGGAGTACCCTAATTAAGTTAATAACAATGTACCTACCTATATAGTTTAAGTTTAAAACATTTGGCTCTCAAAAGAAATTTCAGTCGTTGTCCTGTTGATATTTGGCTGTGTTAACTAATGAGTTTGCCGACCGCTGACCTAGCTGTGTGATTCTGGGCAAGTCAATTAACTTGCAGTTCTTCACCTGTAAAATGAGACTTATACCCCCTGCTCTGCCTTACTCTCTCTGCACAGATGCCCTGCAATGGGAATAAAGAACAAGCATCGACTAGAGCTTCAAAAAAATGTAATTCTTTCTACCCCTCCCATCCACAGTAAACTGCCTACAGTGGGGCAATTATCTTGAGTTTCATCTCAAGAGTAACTATCTTCCTCTTCTCCTCACTAGAAGTAGGAGACACAGGTAGACATTTTTGTAGACATGATAGAATGTCAAAACACAAAATATAATATCCAAAAAATGCTGGCAACACAATACGCTGTAGACTATGGGTGGCTTACCATCATGATTGCGTGGCTGTCAGGAGCCACTGCTCCCTGCCGCTGCCCAGCACCACAAGAGAGCAACATATTGCAGATCACTAGTCCAGGAAAAGATCAAAATTCAAAATCCCTGGTACAGTTTGTACTGAGTGAACATTGCTTTTGCACCATTGTAAAGTAAAAAAAATAATCGTAAGCCTAACCATTATAAGTTGTGGACCATCTGTACACTCAAATACTTATTGATTCTTTTATTTCATAGACACACAATTCAACAAAAATGTAATGAACTCCTGCCAGAGGCTCAGTACCTTCCTCAAATATGTGCGAGACACAAAGACAAGCTGAACCCTATAGCCTGGAAGGATAGCTGGCATGCATGAACTGCTGAGTAAAATGACAGGCACACTGAAGCAGACATCATAAGAGGGGACAAAGCACACTGGGTGTTCAGAGGAGGAAAGAAGTTATTTCATTCCTCATCAACAGGAGGACATTTGAGCTAGATCTCTTAAGAATGTATAGGATAGCCCTGGCCTGTTTGGCTCAGTGGATAGAGCATCGGCCTGTGGACTCAAGGGTCCCAGGTTCGATTCTGGTCAAGAGCATGTACCTTGGTTGTGGGCACATCCCCAGTGGAGAGTGTGCAGGAGGCAGCTGATTGGTGTGTCTCTCTCATCGATGTTTCTAACTCTCTATCCCTCTCCCTTCCTCTCTGTAAAAAAAAATCAATAAAATAGATTTAAAAAAAAAAGAAAAGAATGTATAGGATATGAACAGAGAGTTGAAGGAGATCATTGAAATAAATAATTGATAAGAAAGGGCCTGGACTCTGAGTGGTGAGAATGTTAATGGAAAGAAAGAGGTGCACACCAGAGACTATTTCAAGCAAGAAATGACCATGACATGTGTGTCCACACTAGGGTGAGAGATCAAGAGAAAGCAGAGGGAAAGAGGACACACGAGGATGAACTGAGCATGTGCAGACATCAGAGAGGGGACTGTACTGAGAATCCTTAAGATCGAGGAGATCCTAGTCCAGTGCAGACATAATACAACAATGTGGATGGGCTGGTGGCAAGGCAGTGTGATAAGCAGTGACAGATGTGCCCAGGCACACTACTCCAGGATTGGGGGGATCTAGAATTAGAACCATAGTTCTACTAGACTGGATTGGCATTAGAATGATCACTAGCACAGAGCAGGGCCACAACTTGGGAAAAGACTGAAAGAAGGAAAGTATACAAAAATAGCAGGTGAGCGGCAGGAAATGTGGCCCCCATTCCCTGAGGGGAAGCCTGGCAACAGGTTATGGGTAATCAATTCGCTGTAAAGAGGTGAAAGGCTATTTCCTATCCTGCTCTGCTGACTCTGTATTCTGATCACCTTTTTGGGGGAGCAACGTCCATCCTAACATGCTAACACTAAAAAGGGACCTCAGGCCAATCCTCTCACTCTACAGCTGGGTAAATTGAGGCTCAGAGCAAAACAGGGGGCTTCCAGGGCCCTGGTGACAGAGGAGGGCCTACGGGTGAAGCTTCATCACTCATGTTAACCCCCGCCCCCTTACTTCCTCTTTGGAAGCCTCTCCTATCAAGATGTCCGTTTGTTAGGCACCCTCAAGCCTTCCGCCGCCATCCCATTGAAAACTCAAGGGCCCTGCTCTCAACTCCAACACTCACTTTGGGAGATTAGGCAAGTCCCCTTTCCTCCCTGACTGCCAACTCCTCATCTCTACATTGTAAAGTTAAAGGAAGTGTTCTCTAAAGTCCGATCGACTACTGGCCATCCCGTCCATGTTAGTGTTGCCACAACATTGGTCTTTCTGCTACCTAATGTCCATATCTATGCCTAACATGCATAGATGGTATTCTGATTATTTATGAGGCAAGTGGAGCTACTAACCAATGAAAGAGAACATGGCAACAGAATAAAGTTAGACAATTTAAGACCCATACCCAGCCTCTGCAGGTTAAGTAGCTCCAGGTGAAATGTCTAAAGCAAGTGATCGGTTCTCTTGTTCATTCCTGTCACCCTAGGTCCGTGGTCGGCAAACTGCGGCTCGCGAGCCACATGCGACTCTTTGGCCCCTTGAGTGTGGCTCTTCCACAAAATACCACGTGCGGGCGTGCACATACAGTGCGACTGAAACTTTGTGGCCCATGCGCAGAAGTCGGTATTTTGTGGAAGAGCCACATTCAAGGGGCCAAAGAGCCGCATGTGGCTCGCGAGCTGCGGTTTACCAAGCCGCAGTTTGCCGACCACGGTCCTAGGTCCTCGAAGAGGGCCTGGTACACAGTAGGCACCCAATAAAGGTTTGTGGAATAGATGTTAAAATTAACCTGCTTGCCATTTGCAATTTTTACTAGATGTTCTGCTATCTTAAAGTTCTCCTTTTAGAAAGGATTTATCAAAAATAATTTCCTGGCTGCTTCTTGTAGATACTATTATTGTACGTCAAACTTTTAAGAGCCCCACCACAACTCTGATGCCTTCACTTTATCCAGGGGTAAGAGTAGTCAGACTCGCTCCGGTGCAAACACCTGCCCGTGCCTGCTCTCAGATGTTCACTCTGGGCTACCAGATGGTCACTCACCTATGCCCTCCGTCTTCTCCCTCAGAGGGCCCTCCAGCCTGAAACCTAGGGCAGAACTGCCTTCCTCTAATGCAGTGGTTCTCAACCTGTGGGTCGCGACCCCTTTGGGGGTCGAATGACCCTTTCACAGGGGTCGCCTAAGACCATCGGAAAACATATATATAATTACATATTGTTTTTGTGATTAATCACTATGCTTTAATTATGTTCAATTTGTAACAATAAAAATACATCCAGCATATCAGATATTTACATGGCGATTCCTAACAGTAGCAAAGTTACAGTTATGAAGTAGCAACAAAAATAATTTTATAGTTGGGGGTCACCACAACATGAGGAACTGTATGAAAGGGTCGCGGCATTAAGAAGGTTGAGAACCACTGCTCTAATGTGCTGCCTCGTCTTCCCCTTCGCCACCCACTCCTGGCGGTCCTGCAACTTGGAAGTGTTTATTGTTACCATCTGTGTCTTAGTGTGACTGTGAGCACAGCCAGCCTGTGTTTAAGGCGAGAGCTCCCACCTCCCGTGCTTCCACCCCCTCAGTCCCCTCCACCAGCCAGATGACAGTTCTTGAAAGTTCTGACCTCTTCCTTCTCCTCCCCTGAAGCTCCATCCTAAACCAGCTCCCCACCCCGATCCCAGTTTCTCTGAAATTCCCTCGGAATCATGATTAAAGCATCCTCCCTGAAAAGTGCTTTTACAACACAGAGTCCCTGTGTAGGTGTTCCCACTCCAGCCTGGTCTGGTCTCCGAGGACTCTCTCTCTCTGCTACTCCCACCACTTCAGCAACAACCATCAGCTCTCAAATCTCTGGGTCAAGGGCTCCAAGGGCTTACCTCTCACTGCAACACTCAGAATCACTCTGTACTGCAGCCTATCCATGTCCATAGCCTCAGAGGGTGAGTTTCTGAGGCTGGAACTACATCTCATTGGTATCTTTTGCACGCAGTAGATCCTCAGTGTTCGCCCGAAGAAAGTAGGGGTGTCAGCCCCATCCTCTCTCCTCACCAGCACACACATTTCCAGTTGTCTACCAGCAACTTCTACCTAACTATCCATTATGGGCATCCCAGAGAGCTCCCATACTCCATAGCTGAGAGAACGTTAATTACTGCCCTGCCCCAAACATCCTGATGCCTGATTTCAGCCACATCAACATAGCTTCTCAAAGCAGAAACCACAATGTGCTCCTTCACTATCACTTCAGTAACCAATCATCAAGACCTATGATGTTTTTATCTGAATATCTACCTCTCCTCCCCCATTCTCGCTGCCTATGTCTGAGGTCAGGTCCCAGGCTCCCACAGTGATCTCCCAAACTTCCAGCCCCTCTTCCAACAGCGACCAAAGAGATCTTCCTAAAACACGGTGACCGTGCCACAGTCCAGGGTGTACACCTCTGACCTCTCCCCCACTGCCTAAGAGATAAAGTCCAAGCTCCCCACATGACACTCAAGGCCTTTCTGGATCCGGCCCTGATGACACTACCCTCTTCATTCCACCGCACACCACCCTCTCCACATACTTTTCAACCCAGCCAGACCCAACTCACCTTCGTGCCCTTGAACCTGCTGTGTTTTCCTGTCTCCGAACATGGGCTTCCTCTGGCTGGAATCCTTTAATCCAAGGACCACTGAGAGCTCATTTTCATCCCTCAAGGTCCAACCCCTGTGTAACTTTTGCGACGCCTTCCTCAACTAATGTTCAAGCTGTTATGCTTATTATATTTATAACACCTTCCTTCTAAGTTTGAGGCAGCTTACAAACTATGCCCACACAACTGCACCAAGATTTTTTTTTTAAGAAAGAGACTATCAGAGCAAAGACAAGCGTTAAAAATAGAATAAGGAGGAGGTAATCAAAACCTCTATCCTAGTCTCAGCTCATCTTTTTAGAGGTAGGCTAGCCCTGAGTTTTCTGTCCAGAATGAATTAGTTACTCCTCCGTGAGCTCACTGCCAGTGGTGTATGACTTGTACAGTAGCACTTCCCATATCTTTTTGTAATTTGCTCTTTGAGTCCATCGCTCTCACTGGACTGGGGAATTCCTAAGGGAATAGATAATTTCTGACTCATCTTTGTGTTCCTGGCGTGAAGCATATGACTCAGCACAGGATTGGTGCTCAGCAGACATTTGTTGGACAAATGTCACCATGGACAGGGAAAAGGTACTTGTTGAAGTCCCTACCAGACAGTTATAAAAAGTTTTACTTTCACAAAAAATTACATGGCTGAGAAGTGGCAGAGCCAGGTTCATACCCTCAACTGTCTCTCTCTCCAAAGCAACTGCTCTTTCCACTATGCATGCTGCTCCCTACCTTTACCATCACCATGTACCCCAAGACCCCCTCCTTCAAGCCTGGGTTTAAAATCGCCCTTCTCCAGCCCTGGCCGGTGTGGCTCAGTTAGTTGGGGGTTTGATTCCCAGTCAGGGCACATACCCAGGTTTCAGGTTCCATACCTAGTCGGGATGCATAAGAAGGGAGGCAACTGATCTATGTTTCTCTCTCACATCAATGTTTCTCTCTCTCTCTCTTCTCTCTCTCTCTCTCTCTCTCTCTCTCTCACACTCACTCTCTCTCACACACACACACACATATTAATAAAAATAAATAAATAAATAAATAAATAAATACATAAAACCAACCTCTCCAAGAAGCCTTTCCTGCTCACTCAGGAGAAAAGTGAGCCTGAGTCCAACCCCGACCTCCCACAACACTCAAGTGAGAAATTATCACAAACCAGGAGAGTTAAGGTGCCTCCTTGGGAGCTGAGAACTGAGCAGTCTGCTTGGCCTTTCTGCAGACAGTGTTGTGAGGCCCTCAGCTCCTCCTTCTACTCCCTTTCCCAGGGTGCAGTGCCTAGGCCTTCCATGCCTTTCTTTTCCTTCTTCAGGTTTCCCCCTTCCAAACTGAACCCCACAATCATCTCCTCAGGCCCACTCTTCTCTAACCAGGTGGACTGTGTTCCAGTACATCAATCAGGTCTCTGCCATTTAAATGTGTCCTATCAAACTTTAGGATTGGTGAGCCTCCCCAACTCTTCAAACACAAAAGAATGTCACGGATCACACGAGAAGGGACAATGACATCTTAGGAGGCCCAATCACTTGCTCTCAGCCCGGAATATTTTGGGGGTGGCCTGGGAGTAAGAAGAGACCGGTGTTCTCATCCCAGCATCTCTCCCCACGCCTAACCTCCCCTCCCCCAAAGCAGGATGCTGGTCTCTAAGGACAGGATGGAATCCTGGTCCAGGATGCTACTGGGGTGATGCACCTTGCTCCCTCCCTCCACATCCTCTTCCAGAGCTTCTCAACTCCCCCCCTCCCCGACTCCCACAACCCACCCCCTCCCCTTAACTCTTTCTGGCCCCAAACTCCCACAGCAGCCCTCAGTCCTAACTCAGGATCTATGTTTTTGAATTACCATTCAACAATTTCCTTTTCACACAACCGACTTTTCAGACATGCTGAAATGCACACCCCTGGCCCTGATATTATCTTACGTCCGGTTTTTAATGTATTACAAATATATCCCTACATCCCACAACCACTCTCCTGATACTGCAGGAACCCTTGTACTCTTAACTGTCACCACACCTAAGAAACACCCAACCTTCTGAATCAGAATAGGGAGACTAAATTCTTCACTGTTTCCTACTCCTGAATAAAGCTTATTCACGCAAGTTACAGTGGCTGCATCATAGCGCCGGTGGGGTAATTTAATTAGATAACTCATGCCAACTGTTCAGTCCTAGGCCCCGGTGCATAGAAAGCTCAGATTTAGCTGTTATCGCTGACGTGCATCATTTACGTACATTCTCTCCCACAATCGCACCTGGGGGTGGGTGTGACATTACGCACTCCACCCCCACCCCACCGAACCCCATCTACGAACCCCATCTACGAAAGCACAGCCTAGGCTCGGAGTCGGGGAGCTCTCCCAAGGTCAGGCGGCCAGCGGAGTGATGCTCGGCCCTCGGCCTCCGCATGAGGGGCCCCTCCCCTCACACCCCTGGATGGGACACGAGGGTCTTCACGGAAACAAGTATGAAAAGCGAGCGCAGTGCCCAGTATGCAGTGGGGGACCCCGGGATGGTAGGGTCCAGGCACTGAGGGTCACACGGATTCCTCCCAAGAGGCTCCCGGCCCGCGCTCCAGAGTGCCCGACCCCGGGTGCGCCACGGAACCTCCCAGGTCCGCGCCGCGGGCTTTGTACGCCGCAGGCCGACCCCGTTCACCGGGTCCCCGCGGCGCGCGCAGGCGGCCGCCCGGCCTGCGGGGCAGGGGTCGCGGCGGCGCGGCCCCGAAGCCCGCCATGCCCGCCCGCGGTCCTCGCACGCCCGGCCCGCGCCCCGCACCCGCGCCCCCGCCCCGCTGCGGCCCGGCCGGGGAGCCTCCTACCTGCAGCGGCGGCGCGGCGACCGGGGGAGGGGCCGGCGAGCGCGGGCGGCCTCGGCTCCTCTCGCAGGCTGGGCGCCGGCAGGGCCGCGGGCTCGGAGCGCCGGGCAGACAGCGCGCCCCCGGCCGGCCAGGCCCCGCCGCGCACGCCGCGGCCACAAAGCCCGGGAGCCGCCGCCCCCCGGGGCCGCCCGCCGCTCCGGGTGCGTCCGCGCCGAGAGGGGCGGGCGCGTGGCCCCGCGCAGTCGCCACCTCCCCGAGCTGCGGCCGCCGGCCTCCCCCGAGGCTCGGGGCGGGGCGCGGGGTGCCCCCACCTCCCCACCCTCCTTCTCCGGGCTGCACCCCGGCTGATTGAGTTCCCTTTCCCACCTTCGCGGGGGAGCGCACAAGGGCCTGAAAACTGTTCCATTTCCATGAACAACAAAAGAACGCATTTGTCACAAGGGATTTGGCGGCCACGAGCACGAGTTAGCTCAGTCCAAGCCCCTGTCTGAAACAGGCCCCTTTCTTTTGGGACTCCCCGATACTTGGGACGGCCCAGCCTCCCTATGCTGGCTTCATCACGGAGGGTGTGTGTGTGTGTGTGTGTGTGTGTGTGTGTGTGTGTGTTAATCTGCGGGATGGATGTGTCTCCCCCTAGACTGTGAGCTCCCTAGGGCAGGGACTCCGAAACCTACGGAAATCTGAATAGGTACGAGCTTTAGTTAATAATGTATCAGTGTTCCTCTTCCCATCCCGGAGTCTGGAAGGGAAGGGAAAAGGAGGGGGAGGGGGAGGGACAGGCTGACTGCAGAATGGACAACAAATTGGATAAAAATAAGAATGATGATGATGATCGTAATAACAATAAATGAATATTTGTAAAATAATAATGTCAACATTTGGTCATTACTTGTGACAAAGGTTCCATACTAATATGAGGTTAACAATAGGACAAACTGGATGTGGGGGGTCTACGGGAACACTTCTGAGAATGTTCCTTGAAACCCTGCCCCTCGCCCCCCGCCCCCCGCCCCCAACATTCTTGCAGGAGAATACCTAATGCAGAGGAGCACTAAGTCATGTCTGCACCTACCAAGGCAATGGCATCCAGGTTGTCTCTGGGCTTGCCAATCCAGTCCCTTCTACACTCCAGGGCACAGGGACTGACCCATCCGCATTTATGTCAGGGTCAGGTCAGTCCTACCTTCTAGAAGCTTACACTCCGGAGGGGTTAGAACACTCCACCATAATGTAAGATGAGGAAAGGGGCACTCAGCAGGCAAACAGCTAGAGATGGGTCTGTAGAAGGCAGACGATGAAGCCTCATGTTGGTCCCCAGGATTATCACTGGTTCAAAGTAACTAAGTATTGACATACTCAACATATTCAGAATACTTGAGAAAGTGAGCGCCCTCACTCAGAAAGCTCATCATTTTTTAAAATTAAAGAATAAAAACAATAGGTTATGTTGTTAATCAGAAGAAAGCAAGATAAACAAATAATGAATGGAAAAGTAATTATTTTGTTTTGTTTGCTAATTTGTGTTTTTGTGACAAACTTTTTATTGCAATTTTATTTTCCAAAAAGTTGATTAGTTTCTCAAATCTGTAGCAACCTGGACCATCCTCCTATATAATAAAAGGCTAATATGCAAATCGACCCAACAGTGGAATGACCAGTTGCTATGACATGCACTGATACTCAATCCAGGAGCTGCCCCCTGGTGGTCAGTGTGCTCCCACAGGGCGAGAGCCGCTCAGCCAGAAGCTGGGCTCACTGCTGGCAAGTGCAGCGGCGGTGGCAGGAGCCTCTCCTGCCTCTGCAGCAGCGCTAAGGATGTCAGACCGACGGCTCAGGGGGAGCGGGCCTAAACCATCAGTCGGACATCCTCTGAGGGCTCCCAAACTGCAAGAAGGGCGCAGGCCGGGCTGAGGGACCCCCACCCCCTGAAGAGTGCATGAATTTCATGCACTGAGCCTCTAATTTTTACATAAATTCCTCTTTTCTCAATGTCTATTTTATGTACCCTTCTGCCCCCCCTTGCAGTTCTTTCTCTCCATGCCTAACACCTTCCCCTAACATTGTTTAATAAATCCTAAATTGTAGAAAGGGTTTCTGCTCCCATTGTTCAGCTTCAAAACCAACTTCCTTTATCTCTGGAATATATAGTCTTTAACTCATTAAAAAGCAGCCAAACTTTCTTCTCCTCCTCCTTCTCCTCCTTTTTCCTGTCTTCTTCCTCCTCCCCCTCCTCCTTCGTTTTTAGTTTATTGACTCTTTTATAATTTCCCAGTTCCAAAAAACTTTTCATCCATCCAGGCTTACAAGCAAGGAATCTAGTAGATTCTTGAACATTGTTCCCACCTCTACACAGCCCTATCTTAAATATAAAGTCTTGTCAATTTTATGTCCATGAAATTTCTCAAACTTTTCTTCGTCTTACTATCTACATCCAGCACCATATTCCAAGCTCTTACTTAGATTACTGCTATACCCACCTCTGTTTGATTTTTGCCTCCCTGTCAATTCGCTCTCCCCAGAGTGATTTTCATATATATGTGTATATATATACTAGTATATACATACTAGAGGCCTGGTGCACAGAGGCAGGAGAGGCTCCCACCACCGCCGCTGCACTTGCCAGCATTGAGCCCAGCTTCTGGCTGAACAGCGCTCCCCCTGTGGGAGCACACTGACCACTAGGGGGCAGCTCCTGCATTGAGTGTCAGTGCTGTCATAGCAAGCTGTAGTTCCACTGTTGGGTCGATTTGCATATTAGCCTTTTATTATATAGGAGGATGGTCCAGGTTGCTACAGATTTGAGAAACTAATCAACTTTTTGGAAAATAAAATTGCAATAAAAATAGTTTGTCACAAAAACACAAATTAGCAAACAAAACAAAATTCTTACACGCGGTGGGTGGGGAGTCCCTGAGCCCAGCCTGCAACCTCTTGCCGGTTTACAGGCCTAAACTGGCAGTCAGACATCCCTCTTGCAATACGGGATGCTGCATGCACCAGTGACCATAATTTTCATACAGGTGAAAGGCATCTTGCTGTTGTATGTGCAGCTACATTTTTTTGCCCTGATTATAAAAAGTAGTACATAACATGATCCTTCTGAGGCAGTAGTACCATTTTCCCCA